TTTTTGAATTGGCATTAGCATCTTTGTGTTTAGGCTTCGTGGATTTTTCAATTCCTAGGTTTAGGTTTAAGATTTATCTACCGTATTCACGGGTATACTTTTTGGGGACGTTCCAATTGTGGAAAAAGGAAATATACATATATGAACAAATATATACACATATACGTGCGCGCAGGAGGATAGACATCCTGTAGCCTAGAATGAATGAACACAGAATCCGTTAAGGCGCGGGTGGAACATGTGGCCCATCTGTCAGCAGTTATGCAAACTATGATATATGTAAGGCGCGGACGCGTCTATTTCCGGCTACACGTTAATATAACCCCGTCCTTTTTCTTTTAAAGGTGTACAAATAGTGTCTTACTCTTTACATGCGGAAGTGTGTTACTCTCTCTTCTGCGGGCGGATCCTTATTCGATTCGTATACTTTGAGGAAGAAAGACAACCTATAATGTACGGATGCTATACAGGGTTTCCGCTAGATCCCATACGGTTTGTACCTTCATGGGTATAACGCATTTTTTTTTTTTTTAAATATAGAGACGCGCCCCTGCGTATTATCTGCGTCAGAAATTAAATTATGCGGTTGAAAATTTGTATTCATATATAATAATACATTTTGTTAGTATAATTTCTTTCCTCAGAAGTTTTAACCGACATTCAAAATTTTCTTATCGCTTAACGTTACATAATGTCGCGCAGGTGAAAGTTGAAGTATTTATTGAGCGAAATATATGTGTTACCATTTCTTACAAATGTCAAGAGGTAAATGTTGTACAATATATTCATCTGTACCTTATGTGCGCTGTCTATTAGAATTAACACTATGTAGTGTATAATTTAATCTACACATAAAAGATTAATTTATAACAGGAAAAAAGGTATGAAAGTGATATATTTATAATAAAAAACAAATGGAAGGATGGAGGACTTGATGGCATTTATTAGGTACGGAATTCTGCAGATGTGGCTCAACGTGAGTACTTATAAAGACTACCGTGGCACGACAGAAGTACTAATGGACTATTAAGGAAATATGATTAGACGAAAGACATATGCCTTGGAAGCATGAAAATTCATTATCCTGTTCGCAATAAACAGACATGTGAACTGTATGCATGTGAATTTGGCTCTAATACAAATGTACCCTTCTTACGACTTCCACCTGATCAATTATTTTTCCTGCTCATAAGAACACATACTGTACTTGTGCTTTATAAGTAAATTATTACTTACTAATGGGGATTTTTTTTTGTCACACGGTGCCGTATCTTACAAATTTCATGCGTTGTTTGCAGGCCACAGGTGGAATGTATAGCGCAGATTTTCTGTGGATTATAGTATTCAAAATATTTGACAAGGAAGCGAGGGTACAAGGGAAGATGAACAAATCCCATTAATTCAATTTCTACCTGCGCGAATAGTACGACCGAATTGTTTGCTATATAATATTGTAGGCATAATAGAGCCAGCAATAAAATGGAAAAGACTGTAACATATGTATGCGTTAAAGAATTAACATGGGTGAAAGGGCCACTATAGAACCCTGCACGGGAATCGAAGTGGAGAACAGTCGTTCATTCGGGCGTCAGTAAAATACGTGAAGAACCTTTATGCACGAATAACTCCTTCTTATGGGCATTCATAGTTGAATTCATATGTGCATTAAGTAATAGATGGAAGGTATTCCATGATTGTGGCTTTGGCAGGAGGACAAAATGGTCCCATTACATCATTTACGCCCATAACATATAAGATATTGGGAGCTTAGGAGTAGTGTATTGGTGACATAATATGGACGTAATGAACGCAGACGCCCACGGAAAGGGCTCAATGAATGGAACAATAGAAAAGAATATTCCATGGTGTTACGCGAAAAATAGGAGCAAGCGGTTACCACAATGTAAGGAGTATGTATTTAAATAGGGCACAAAGGAAATAGGCACAGTGCGCAACGACCTATGACCTCATTAGCAGCTGCCAAGGTCCAATGTGAGTGCGCATATTGGGACTTGGCGTAAGGAATAACGTACACAAAAAGAGGATTATAAGTTGATATCGACAACAGAAACCACAAGCATGTGTACGGACGGAAGTACTCAGTAAACTGCATATTTCATTGTAAAACTTTCTGGTGCCCGTACGCAGCCACCAATTTCATATTTCACGCGGTCCTAAAATATCATGAGCTGCGGAAATGCATAAGCTTCAAATCATCAGGAGGCACATACATGGTTGCAGACACATATCAGACGTAGCGCCGCGTCATATTCATACGGGATGATGCCCAATTTCAGAAATGAACGCGTTAGAAGTATATGGCACAAAATTGAATACAGGAAGAATTGTTCTTGTGGAATAATTAAAAAGGGCGTAATGAAATAAATGAGCCCACATATATTGTTTGCGCGCTTACGAAAACATATACGCGATGCTCCTACATCGGTTGGGTGTACTTTTCCCATGGTACATTGTATTCGTGACAGTACAAGCGCACGGTCTACCTGCACTGCGTAAATGCATCTGCACACATATTGTTAAGTTTTTCTCAGGGCTGCGGCAACAGTTTACCTTGGAAGTGCGCGTAATGTTGTCCAGGCATTCTTTGTTTTTACGTTATTTATATATTATTTTTTTTATTTCATTTGTACAAATATTTAGTTTGTTTTTCTTTTGTCGAACTTTAACTTGTTTTAGTGTTGCGTCAAACTCTGCTCTTATGATGTTTTCTTTTTTTTGTGTTTTTTTTTTTCTTCATTGGATGCAATGAATTACACGCAGGGTGTGTAAAACGAATGACTCTGGGAAGTACCTACAACTGTATGCCGGAAATCATAAAGGCACGATGATGGAATTAGAGTATGTGCATATGACTGCATTAAGTTTTAGGAGAATGGTTTTCGGGATGGAATAGTATTATATGTGCTAAGGGACGGATGAAAGGCTTTGCAAATGCAAACGAACAGTTTCCTTTATGGCTTCCCGTTACCCTTAATTATTAGTCAATGCCCAGAGAAACAGAAAAAGGTAAAGTACTGTGCGGCACTCCGAAATATTGCCGTTCCCATGCCCGCCCCCGTCCCTTTTCATTCCCGAAGCACGGTAAAAGGCCAAAAGGTATTGATGAACGAAAAAAAACGGGGGCGGCGTGAACAATGCATGTTGTAGGGCGAACGTGCCACGAGCATGGCATTATGGCGCTGATGGTAGTAGTAGCAAGCTGCCGGGTGTACATTGGTAACTACGCATAATTACGGTGTCCAATACAACAGGAAACTGGGAACATGCATTGAGCTGGTTTCAGGAACACCGGGACATGTTCATTCCCTGTAGTGTGTTCACCGGAAGAAGGTGTGCGTTATATTATAACAGAAAAGGAGGAAATGCGTTTTTTTAGAAGGCACGGTACGATTAACTTTTTTCCGAAGAGTATGGCCACTTCAAAAGAAGCGTGTATGTCAATGTATACAAAAATCATGGTCCAATCCTATGACACATTATGCGTCCCACTGCACATATGTGGGCAAGAGATGATATAATATATTATCTGCGCAAATGGGACACGCTATTTTTTCGTGGAAACCCATCGCATATATGGACCTTTACATTTACTAAAATCCTCCATTTGTGTGCATATCAAAAGGTAAGGTGTAAAACCGTTTCATTTGGCAATGTGGAAGTTTATACGAACCGGAAAGGAAGCATCAGTACGTAAGCAAGAAGAAGTAAAACATGTTACATATTACATGAATAGGCACTGTATGAATTAGCTCAGATAATCATTATATAATATATGTTACATTTATGATGTAAGGGATTATGAATTATAAATATGAGAATATATATGCGTACATATATATGTATTTATGTAGGAAACACAAGGAGGGATTCCGCACAAATAGTGCTCCCTTTCAAAATATCAATAGACAACTGATTACAGAAACAAGCAGCATTATATATGCACGGAACATTCCTGTTTGGGAAAATGTAAACCATATTATAATGTAGAAAACGGAACTATAAAGGTCAATGCTATCAAGGATAAATAAGCCATATAATACAAAATGTATACAATATCATATGAGGGTCCATCTAAGAAAATATGTACAAGCATACTGTAACATTGACGTTGCCTACCCAGAAGTGCAATACAGGAAGTTATGCTTTGTTAGTTGCTTTCGGTTTCTCGGGGTATCTCTGGATTTATCCGGAGTACCTCGGGTTTGTGATCTTGTTTTGATGCAATTTTGGTCTGTCAAAATATTCTTCTTCGGCGCTTTTGCCTTCGCTTTCGGTAGCAGCTCCGGAATATCCCAAGTGAGAACATACTGCCTATACCCATTGCAACTGCAGTGCAGGGTATGCCAATCCCAAGTGCAGAGAACGGTTGTGTCGCACCTGTGCCCCCAGTCAGACACGCAACTACACCCGCAACTCCACCCCCAAATACAAACCCAACGGCACAGCCAACAGCAATCATTATTATAGTGTAAATGACAATAGCCGCAACGAAGAACTTGCAGTACCTATATACAATATATTTAGCCAATTTCCGTCTACTAAAGTCTCTTCCGGTGTTGATGTTAACTGCTTCAACCTGCTTCCCGTGCATTGTGCTTCCGATGCTTCTGGTGCTTGCGGTGCTTCGAGTCGTTCCTGTAAATTAGGCGTGTGTAATAAGATATTATGAACATTCTATCCACAACGAGGTGTTTTTAAGGCAACCTTCATTACAACCTCCCGGACATTTTATTTTGTTGCCATGTTTGCGCATATCGGTTTTACCTGTACCCGAAGGCCCTTTAGATTCCTGTTCGGTTTTTGCACTTTGTCCTTTATTTTGTACATTATTCTGTGGGGACGGTGGCAACGAGCCGTCTTCACCAACCTTCGAAAGCGATGTGCTAGACGTTGCAACTGCCTCGGCGACTGCTACATCGGCAGATAATTTGTCGCCGTTATGGACTTCTTCTTCCCGTTCATCATGTTCTATTTTCCACTTTTTTTCATAATGCACTTGTTGTGGTATCTCGTACTCCACCACTTTCCGTTCTTTTAGAATAGCTCCTGCTCCGTCTCGATAACATCGTTTTTTTGGTGTCGACCATTGGTTGCGAGAGTATACTCGTTTCGGGGGAGATTCATAGGCTTGTTCATACGGTTCGTCGACATCGTCGTATGCACCTTCATAGGTTTGTTCATAGGTTGGTGGAGCATCGTCATAGTGTTCGAATGCCATCGGATCTAATTCAAGCTCATCATCTGATGGAGTTGCTTTTACCTTTGCTAAACTTCGGGCAACTCTGTTACGTACGCGTACTTTGGCGACATGCTGTTCTTGTGTTTCGAAGTCATCTTGATGCTGTAGAAAGGGGAATGGATGAGAAGTGGTGATGCGTTGAATGAACAAAAGAACAGCAATATGAGAAAGGAACAAAAAGGGGAAGTCAGCACCGGAAGAGAAAAAATATACATATAAATATTCAGGCATGTTGCGTACGCCATATATGTAGCCGAGTGCGGAACATTCCAGTCTCCACATCTATATGTGATCATGTAATCTTTCTTTTGTGCGTGGGCTTACCGTTAAAAAGATGCAAGCAACCACAAAAAGGATAGCAAATTTTTTGGAGGAAAAGAACCTGTGTGCCTTTTTGTCATGTGTTTCGCCTTCGTCATTACCTGCGGAATATGCTTTGCCATTTCGGGATTGCAACGCTCCTGGTGGGACACCGTTGCTTGTCGATGTTTGTTTGTTGTTCGAGTGTGCCATATTGATGTGGATACTTATTTAAAACGGAAATGTACAGGGGTAGTGTGCTTTTCGTTGTTCTTTTTTTTAATTACTCTACGGCTAGGAGGAAATTATGTTAAGAGAAGAAAAAACAAAATTAGAGAAATGAATGAACACAAAATTATTGCTTTCACGTCAGCATATATGCGTGTGAGAAGTGTTGTGCTTCTTTTTTGTTTTTTTTTTTGGTCAATTGAACCATATAGGATCCCGTTCTAATTTACTTTTCCATAAATATTACATATACATAATTATTTCTATTAATTGTGCAAAATGTACAAAATCATAAAAAGAAAAGTCAGATTACGTCAAAATACATTATTTTACAACTTAAAAGGAAATTATGCCAACAAGAAAACAAAAAAAACAAAAAAATGCACAGCAGATACATTAATTTGAGCTTTAGAAGAAGGAGAGGTCCTTGTAAATTTTCAATAAATGTGTGGGGCATTGAGTTGTAGGGTTTTATATGTAAAATGTTTTTTTTTGTAACTGAACCGTTACATATATATAGGAGTATATGCCCAACTTATGGTTTGTATGCCTTTTTATACGCTCCGCATAATGCGCTGATGGATCAAAAACACCAGGTGCCTTAGTCAATCGTTTGGAATGAGAATGCGCTCAATCACATTATTTTAATACGGAGATGCAAACAAAATTTGTTGTGCATGTATTTTATCACAAAAAAAAAAAAAAAAAAAGTTTAAGTCTAACTTATTAAAGGTGTGTATGTAATACTTGTATACTTATTTAAATGGAAATGAGTACATATTATGTTTAAAATAATTGTTGCGTATGGCTTCCCCCCGCCCCCGCACAAGGAGCACGGGAAGAACAAAAAAGTAGAGAAATGCAAACCAATATGCTTAGAATGACGAACCTTGTGTAAGAGCAAAAAAAAAAAAAAAAACAGGAGTAGGAAGTAACTTAAGCGTAGTAACATACTATGTATATCGCTCAATGTGGAAAAGTAAACTGTTCATATTATGTGTCATTTCAATTTATGTAATTGCGCATAACTTTATCCTAATTGCAAAGGTGTTCTAATAAATTTTCCACATATAACTCCTTCTCCTGCAGGCGGCTTTCAAGCTCGTACTGTTCTATGACTAATGCCAGGATCAGTATGCATATTTTAGTGCTTACCGGCTTGTTGAGGTACAGTTGTGGATGCAGTTGTTGGGGGCGTGGTACATCTCGCACTCTTAGAACATCTTCTGCTCCCATTACTTGTTCCACTTCTAAGTCTTTTTCCATTATAGGTACTTCGCCTTTTTCCGGTACTGTCTCCTCCTCTACATTATTCAACAAATGTTGGAACCACTCCTCCGCGTTATACATACGCATTTGCCGATGTTGTTGGGAAACCCATTGTTTCCACAACCGCAGTTTGCTCATCTGGAGGGTTGTGGCTTCACCGAATTCACTATGGCCGTATACTCCGTTATCCTCGTTTGCCACCATGTGATCACGTAGGTATTGTCTCCACTGCTGTTTTAGGGTTTGGAACCACGGCTGTGCCGTACACTCCCGCAGAATATGTTTGTTGCGGTCAATCCAAGGTGTCCACCTTGTGTAGTCCGACGTCACGTGGTCGGGCTCGCAAGGGGAACTCTGTTCTATTGCGAACTCCATGGTTTCCATATAACTCCAAGGATCGGGGTCATCGTGGTTGGATGCAGAAGGATGCGGTGCTAACGGTATAGGTGCCGTACAACTCCATGAATCGCAGTCATTAGGTGGACCAGGGTCCGTTGCGAACTGTATGTTGTCCATACAACTCCATGGATCGCAGTCATTAGGTGGAGACCGGTCCGTTGCTAACTGCATGGTTTCCATACAACTCCATGGATCGGGGTCCTCTTCGTTAGGTGGACATGGGTCCGTTGCTAACTGTTTAGTTTCCATACAACTCCATGCATCCGTTCCGTCGCAGTCAGTGGAGGAAACATTGTTTCCTGATAAATCCTGGTTTGTGATAGGAGCATCCAAGGAACTACTATACCCCTTTGCGTCCCGCATCAACTCCTGTGCAAACTCCTCCACAAGTATCTGCAAATAGTCGTCTTTGACGTTTTCCCACGCGGCCACTCCACATTCGTTGAGCACTTCTAGATGTAGCTCAATAATGGTGCGCTTATGCACGCGCGGGGAGCGTCCTCTACCGGATGTTGACGCAGGTTGCCTATCCGTAACCATGGTGTACCCGTAATCGGGTGGCGGCAGTTCGCCGCGTTGTAGATGGTCTAGAATTTCTTCGTCGAGTGGCGGTGACGGCACGTCACGAACGGTTCGATACGTTCGTCGACGTTTGGCGAGGTACGCAAAGTACTAAACAGAAAAAGGGGGGTAAAGAGCAGGGTGAGGACGGTAGGATAAAAGGCATGAACCCGGATGTAGGAGTATATTGGTGCGAACGATCATATATTGGAGCCGGTTGGGATGTTCTGAGGTATAAACATCCTGCACATGCGGCATGCCCTGATTGGCGTATGTGCTTACCTTCCATAGGAAGAACGCAATGACCCCAATACCAACCACCGCGGGAATGATCGCGGGGCTATAGGGGATGAGATCCTTGGGGTCGAAGGGTTTACGGGAAGACGGGGTAGGTTGTTGCTCACTGAGGGTACTGCCTCCTGAACTGGATGCTCTATCTCTTAAGGTGGGTGCTTTACCTCCTTCATTAGCTTTTCCACTGGATGTATCAGGTTGGGTAACTGTCAGTCCTGGTCCTGTTGGACTACTTGTTGGATTAGTCGATGGTACTAATGTTACTTCTGTCCCTGAGTCCACAATTTGCCCTGGTCCTGATGGAGGATGTGAACCTGCCTGTGAACTATCTGGAACAGAATTAACAGTTGTTGGGCTTGGACCTGCTGCCTCGGCGGCAGGTTGACCCAGTCCACCACCGCCAGGAGTGCTTGTAACTTGATCATCCGGTTCACCACCACTACCACCTGCGCCTTTTCCTTCCCCGCCAGAAACTCCATCCGCCAAATCGGCATCACTGAAACTGCCACTACTACCCGATTGATTGGGGTTCGGGTTCGGTTTGGGTGGATTGAGAGGAGGGGGGTCATCATTGCCGCCATCGACGACGTCATCGCCTGAACATGTGGTGAATGGGGAGACAGGGAAAGGGAAGGAAGAAGGATATGAAAGAAACTGAAGTTTTGTGCGGTAGCTGGCCACGGTTGACTGTGATTGGGCACACGGTCGGCACCATTGGTGCGACGGGACCAGGTGTTGGGGGGACGGCCTAGCAGGAGACGGACAAGGGTAGGGGGGCAGGGTGCCACCCCGGGAAAAGACTCTCTCTGTCCCACACACAACACAACACACACAGTGTGTGTGTGTCTACGTCGACGTGGACGTCGACGTGTAGCTGTCTACATCCAGGGGCTTTCGCTCTCGGTCTGCCGGTCAGTCTCATTCGACGTTTGGTTTCTGTCGCGCCCTCTGTCCGTGTTGTCTCTCCCGCGGTCGCCGGAAATTGTTGTTTTTTTTTTTTCTTGTTTCCGTCGCGTCCTTTTCTGACTGTTCATTATGCGTACCTATGGGTACTGTAGGAGTAGTATTCGACATGCCTATGGATATTTCTATGGAGCGCGAAGCACCGGGGAGACCCATGGGACCCCTCCCAATGAGTTTGTCGACCTCGTCCTTCTTGTTCACGTTGTCCGTATTCTTGACTTCCCTCTCCAAGCACTTAACAATTTCTTCTGGATGCTCATTTTCCAGGTCTTCACACTTTCGTACATTTGCTGGAGTATGTTCCGGGGAACCCTCCTTACTTATATTCTCTCCTGTTGCCTTACCCTTTACTTTATCCTTGGACTCCGTGCTCGTCCTCTCTCTCTCTGCTCCTACGCCTGCTCCTCCTGCCCCTGTGGATGGTGCTGTCGGAGACGGATCTGATGGTGCCGCAGGTGGAGGTTGTGGTACGGGATCTGTTGCTGCTCCTGCTCCTTGTCCCGATCCTCCCTGATCATTTGCCTGATTTGGGTCAGGAGGTGGGGGTTGTGGTACGGGAGCTGATGCTGGTACCCTCGTGTCCGCAGCTGCTTGATCCGCTCGACCTGGTGATCCTTCCGGTGCTGCCAGTGGCGTGTCTGCCCTTCCTGCTCCTACAGGCCCTGGTGGTGGCGACTGAGTTCCCGGTGTACCCCCTGTACCTGAACCTGTTGGTAGTGGTGTCGTGGACGGTTGAGTTGTCGTGGAAGCGCCATCCGGTTTTGTCTTCCCTTTGTGTTTGGTCTTGTCATCCCCGGAACCACCTGTCTGCGGTGTCGCGCCCTTTGCTGCAATAAAAAAGGAAGAAGGGGAACAACAAAGAGTATATTATAAAAGCACAAGTGGTACAGAAAGAAGGGGCCGGGACGGTGTGGCCAGGTAGCGGCCGGGTAGGGTCCGGCTCGACGACGGGGCGGGACGGTTGTGTCACGTAACGGCAGGGTACGGTCGGGTCGACTCGGTGAACTGCGTCCAGGCGGACAGAGTCGTGGTGGATGGTAGCAGTACAACTTTCATTTGTCGCCGTTACGCTCCTGCACCGTCCCGCTGCATCCCTCATGTCGTCTCCGGTGCCTCGTCGCCGCTGCCGTCGTCGTGGCCACCGCTACGGTCGTGGCTGCTGTGCGGTTGCGCGCCCGTGCGTAGTTCACGTGCGTTGTTCTCGCCGCGTGCGTGTGCGTTGTTGTGATGGCATCCATATTCGTGCGGTTTACATGCGGGCCGCATGAGTATTCGGCCGTATTCGGTCATATTTGTCCGCATTCGTGCTTTCTCCCCATCGGTCCTTACCGGTCGGTTCCCCTGATGGTGCTGGTGTTGCCGTGGCTCCCGGTGCTACCGGCGATGCTGCAACTGCTGGTGTTGCGCGGACGGGTTTTTCAGCGGCGGCTGGTGTAACTGACGTTTTCCCTGGTCCTATATCGTCCAATATTTTCTTCCATGCCTCCCCTCCCGTTCCTGTATTTTTGAATTCTTCCATTATTTTCTGTTTCTGATCATCGCTTATTGCCTCCTTATTCTCAATCATGGTCCTTATACTTTGTACAGTACCATCCTCCAATGCTGTTATTACAGGACCATGTTTCACCTCCTTTTCTGCATTTTCCTTTGATCTTCTTGCTTCCGCACCCTCACAATCCGTATTGCCCTGCCCCGAACTCACGCCTCCATATGTTCTTTGCCTCCATTTGTTTATCCAATCTCCCATGGTTTTTGCAAAAAATTTGGAGCCTATTTGTAAGGTATCATAATCGAGCCTAGCACATTGTTGCTCTTTCCCTATATTACCCTCCTCCCCACCCCAGATGCGCACCTTATTAATTATCTTTCGTACAGTCTCTCTTGTTTTGCAGCTGCCGCTGTATAATTTCGCTATTGCAATAGTGCCCACCATGCACCTGAAATAGTCCCGCA